CGGGCGGGGCGCTGGAGTAGAAGAAACCCGTGGCGGGGTTTGTACTTTCTGGACCTGGATGTGACCGTCTGGCAGTGACCCGCTCCAATTTTTTCTCACTTGCTCGCCACTTCCTGTCTGTGCACCACCTCTGGTCGTTCTGGAGCCAGGCAGCCTACGTTCTCTTCATTTGAAACATTCGAATGCCGTCCGTGTTGGTGTGTCCTTTCCCGCTCTTGTATCGGCGTAAAATAAACATTGCTCGTCGACTATCGTGTGTCAGTGTTTGTCAAACATGCAGAAATGCAGAAATCTGAGTGGGTGAAAATGATAACGACATTCAGATAACTAGTCTCTTTTCAGGCCGAGGCGCAAAAGCACACTGATATGGAAGTGTGACCTTTGCGGAAGACAAGAGTCGCATACGGACACGCGCTGTACGTTTGGCACGGGATTACCGTATCCGCTTTCTCCTCACAAGGGTCGCAGGGGCGGGCCCGAGCCTCTCCCGACCGTCTTCGGGCAGTAGGCGGGGGCACACCCTGAACCGCTTGGATCTTGATGTCCCAATTCAGTCGCCTTTTGGAGCATGGCGCAAACAAGAAAAACTCGGCAGCCATTTTTGTCATGAAAGCGGCAGCTCCGCCGCAGCCCGCAAACAAAAACAAAAAATCAGACCGAGATTCGCAAAATGGTTGCGTCACAGACGTCACAGTCGAGCGGGCGTTCACAAAGCGTTGTGCGCTCCTTCCCCGGCAGCGAGGCATCCCATCATCAGATGGATGCGCAACATGGTCAGCGATGCCAAAAATCGAGCGCGACAACAAAGAAACGAGAGCACGGCGGCCACTGCTGCTCGTGGCTCTCTGCCAAGCCGTGTCATTGCGCAACATCTCGCCACTCATTTGCAACAATGCCGTCACGCAACTGCGGGCGCAGCGAAAATGGCGCAGATGGATTTCCCGCTTTGATTGAGGAAGATCAAGGTGTCAAACATCTTCCATGCCAATGGTCCTCCATGTATTTATTTTTTGGGGGCTGCCAGTTTCATTCACGATCATTTTCCAGACTGGGTCGAGGTGCGAGAGTGCCAAGAACAAAAACACTTGATATCAGGCAGCTCCAATGCTTAACCCTGCCTGGTGTTTTGCAGCTCATTAGCGTCCAAAACAGAGAGTTGCAACAACGTTATCGGCGAGATGATTCCCGACTCTTGTCGGGATGCCCTTGAGCATGGCAACGGAGAGCCGGCGCGCACCAGCGGTTCAGCAACCCTTCTTGCGCGTCCCTTCCGCTCTAACGCGGAAGCCCGCGTTTGTCTGAGAGGTTTTCGGAAGCTTTATTTCAACGATTAATTGTCATGCGTAGATTTCGCTAATGCTTCATATTTTAGTGTCGCAGTTGAAGGCCATAAAGACTATTTTGGGCTGACACGGAGACTTCCTGGAGCATATCTGTTGCCGGGGAACCTCATTGGGGTGACAGTGCAGAAATCAACACGAGTGGTCACGCTTTGATTTATCGGAGTGCTTGGAAAGCTTCCAATTTGTTTCTGGGAAAGTCTGTGAGAATGATGGAAGGAGTTGCTGTGTCACCCTGAATATACCGTTTTTTTTTTTTTTTCTTCCTCTATGTTTTAGATAAACCAAAACGATGAACATCCAGCGGCATCCTGTTCAGAGTTTCCACAGGCTTGAAGAAATATAGGGGAGGTTATTCATATATTTATATTCTATAATCATTATTTGTCGAGTTGTGGTGTCTGGGTGTAAAATTCACTGGAGAAGTTTACAATTCCCATTTGCCCCTCTACCTTTTTTTTTTTTTTTTTTTTTAAACTCTGACACATGTGGTCTTCGTGCCGTTGCGCCAGTGCGCGCAACATGTGGTTTGATTTAGTGCGATGGAAAGATTCAACGGAGAAATGAAAAAGAGCGCTGTCCTTTCTTGTAATGGAATTTAACGACATCTCTCGGAAGCTTTTATCAAAGCTCCAGTGAAGCTCCGAGCCGAATAACATGCAGGCCTTATTGCGGATCGGGACTCGGTTTATGTGGTGTTCGGGCAACCGCGCCAGCAGGAGTTGGCCGCTTCTCTCCGTTTGAAGGACGTGATGCAATTCTCTCTCTTCATGTCGGTGGTGAACAAGAAAGAAATTCCAAGAAAAGAAAATGGAATCGCCGAGAGATGTGGTTACGAATGGCGGGATCAAAATGATCTCGGCGATGTTTAGTGCCTATTCTGGTACGTTGTGGCACGACATCAAGTTGGTCATGAAGGAAGAATGTCAGCGCGAAGGAAGCGAGCATTTTCAAAGTGGGCATGTGAAATTTCGCATGATTAGAGCGAGTACTTAACTGCCGTTGACAAGAAGTTGGACTCTTTCACGAAATGGAGCAAGGGCATAAAATGTGCGCGTATGTGCCAGTTGGAGGAAACGACTTAAGTCAATGACGTCAAATGAACCGCTAATGCGTTATTTCACTTCAACTTGAAAAGGCGTACCTGACCCTGACTGCGTCGTGTTCCTGCGTTCCCAAAACCATGTTTTGACCGAGAAAATGCATTTCAAATTGCTGATCTGTTTGTTTTTTTTTTTAAATGGAACATAACAAAGGCAATATTAGTTCAAAGCTAAAAGGCGAGTCTTGAGCCTGCTGTGAAAACCAAAAAAATGTTCACTCCAGCCCTGAAATTCTCCGACGGACTGTTCTGTAGAACTGAAACGCTGCCTTAGAATTAGGTATCATGTTACCTTTTTTTTTGGGGGGGTGTGTGAAGAGAATAACTCTTCCGCTGCTGACAGTTTCGGCTGTCGCTTCAGCCCTCATCGGAGCTCTCACTACTTCCTGGTCACGTGTCTTAGAAACAGCTGACTGGGTCGAGGAGCCTTATTTTGAAGGTCAAGGCTACGCTCTAACCCTCTGCTGCCGTGGGTGTGGGTGTGTATATGTGTGCATATATATATATATATGTGTGTATATAATATAAGCTGCGAATTTATTTTTTTGACGATGTCGGCTTGGCCTCACAGTGGCTGAGCCGCTTAGTCTTTTTTTCGATGTGAGGAATAGAATCTTGAGGATCACCCCGCGTCACCGAGAAGAGGGCTTTGGCGGCAAAATGCAAACCAATGAACCACTCCATCCCATCGTTAAGAATGAAGAAAACATTTATTGGTTAAAATGGTTTTCACAGATACAATGACTGAGTGTTTGCTTTGCCGTCATGCACGCGCGTTGCACATGGATCAGCGCCGTCTGAACTACGCTAACAAATGACTATTTCTCCCGCGTTGTCGGTGGAATATGAACATCTGGCCCGCGACAAGTAGACAAGCAGTCGAATCGCTGGTGTTACGCACTGTCGTGATTTCTCCGCTCTAGAATAAATTAGCAACATGTAATATCGGAAAACTCTCCTCACGTTGTGGGTGCATCACTGGAACATCTCGTTATCATCGAGATCTCAGTGCAAATGCCATTGTAGCCAGAAGATCCGTGACACATCCACGTACCGACGGAACGATGCACCGACGCGTTCCCAAAGCGCAAATGGAGATTGATTTCGAAATCTTTTGTCATTGTGGAGCTACGCTGGCATGTATTTACATACAAGTGACTAAATATTAGTCCAGACCTACCGAGAAGTCTTCTAAAAACTCACATTTTCATTGTGACAGTTAGCTTGATTTACAGTACTAACTATTTCTCAAGCAGCAATGCTGACATTGAGTCTGAGACAAAAAAAAACGCTAACGAGATCATTCACACAAATATTAAAAAAAAAAAAAATGAATAAAATCTTTCTACTGTCTCCCAACTTCCCACAAAAAAAGGAAGCAATGATCTAACCAACCAACCGCCTGCTCCATCATTCCTGCCACTCACGCACTCCTTTAAGAAGAAAAAAAAAAACACATCAATTCAAAGTTTATCAGGAAAAGCACATCCAGACTGAGTGCCGTTACGACTGTCGAAATGGCCAATCGACGCTTTGTGGGAAGTTGAAATATGATGAGTCGGAAACTGAGTAGTGGTCAGTTGTTGATCGGAGTGGTTTCTTTCCAAAGAATATTCGGTAGGCTCCCCAAAACCTTGTTTTGGAAAGACCTGGCCCATTGGCGGCAGTGGGCTTTTTTTTTTTTTTTTTTTTTTTAATGTTCATATTTGAACTCTCCATCATCTTGAGTTTTCCAGCCCAACGTGGCTGAGGAAGCCACTCGGCGGCCATTTTAAAATGCGTCCACTTTCTGAAACGCGCTAAAGTCAGTCGAGAAAGCGATTCTAGATCGTTTTGTATTTCTCGAGTTGATTTCGTCGGCCTTCTGTCGGAAAAGAGTTGCGGATTTGGAGTGGCCACTTGCCATTGACGTTGGAGGATTGAGATGACTGCCCATTTTTCATACGCAGCTCCAAATTCCCGGCGGCGCCCCGTTGCTCGCATCCTGACGAACAGACGCCAATCAAAACACGAGTCGAATTGCTGTTCAATTAGCGGACGGCCTCAGCGTGCGCTGTTGGCAAATGAGGCATGAAGTCAACGGTCTTGCTTGAACTTGTGACACGGTCGTGCACTGCGCTTTTCCGCCGGTTGCCCAGCGAGCGTCATCGTGCCGGCGCATTGGAAAGGCAATCAAACCGGAACCGAACCCGTCCTGCTTGGTGGCCGACAAACAAACAAACGCTCGCTCGGCGCCGGTTTGAAATGGAATGAGCACAGAGTTAATAGCAAACCAAAGTGGAGGCCAAGAAATCATCTGGAGCGCCGCTGCCTTCCTCCCGTTCGACGGAGTGACTGGATCTCGTGAGCGCGGTCGCCTTTGGCCCACTTCGACGGGGCGGGCTCGATTCAGGCTCGGGTCGGTGGAAGTAAGCTAACGGAAAGTCATCAAAACCTACGGGAAACGTGTACCTTTTGACAGTGTGAACGTAACAAGTTATCATTGTCTCTCGCCGAACTAAGAGTCTCGATGACAAAAAAACAGCGAGCGCGGTTTTCCCGATTGTCAGGGTTACACGTCCAGGTCGTCCGGCCTGGCCCGGCTGCTCATGCGGCTGCTGGCCCGGCTGCAGGGCCTGGCGTCCATCAGTGGCAGAGGTTGCATCTCGTGCCCGGCGTGGGAGGACAGTTTCTTGTGCTCGTGGGTATCGTCGGGGAAGTCAAAAGCTTGCGCGTGGGAGTTTGAGATGGTGCTGCCGCCGCCTCCTCCTCCTCCTCCTGTTCCAAGCTGGCCAAGGCGGTTCTGCTCCGCCGAGTAGTTGGCCCAGTTCTGCTCATGGGCCTGCTTGTTGAAATTGCGACAGGAGCCCGTGCCCCGGTCTCCCGTGGCCAACTTGTAACCCGGAGGGGACATGGGCGAGAGCGGGGCGGTGGGCGAAGAGCAGCCGTTGTAGTACGCGTACTTGGTCGTGGAGAGTTCCTTGGGGGTTGGGCTCAAAGTGCCCCCGCTGGCGTAGAGCGCGGGCTGCTGCTGGCCCTTGACCCGATCTTTGATCCTCTTGAAAAAGACGTAGAAGAGCTCGATGACGTTGAGCAGCAGCGACACCAGAGAAACCACCAGCATGAAGATAATGAAAACGGTCTTCTCCGTGGGGCGGGACAGGAAACAGTCCACCCTGTGCGGGCACGGGGACCTCTCGCAGGTGTAGACCGCCGACAGGCTGAAGCCGTACATGTACCACTGGATCACCAGAAAGCCCACTTCGAACATGGACTTGAAAAAAATGCTGACGATGTAGGTTCGCAGCAGCGCCCCCTTCATCTTGACTTTGCCGTGCTCGTCGATGCCGTACTTGTGCTTTTTCATTTCGATTTTCTTCAGCGGCAGGTCTACGTCGCCGCCGTCGTTTTGGACCACTTTGAGCTCTTCCTCCTTCCGGTTCAGTTTCTGCTCCTTCCGGTTCAGGTAAAAGACGTGAGCCAGGTACAGCAGCGTCGGGGTCGACACGAAGATAATCTGGAGGACCCAGAATCGCACGTGGGAGATGGGGAAGGACTTGTCGTAGCAGACGTTCTCGCAACCGGGTTGTTGGGTGTTGCATTTGAAGGCCGACTGCTCGTCCCCCCAGGCGGACTCGACCGCCGTGCCCAGGACCAGAATTCTGAAGATGAAGAGGACGGAGAGCCAGACCTTCCCCCCGGCGGTGGAATAAGCCTGGACCTTGTCCAGCAAACGACCGAGAGCGCTCCAATCGCCCATCGTCCGGGAGACTCTGCTGGAACGAGAAAGCAAATCCACGTGTAAGAATTGGACGCATTCCACCCCATTTCCCGGCGGAACCCATCGCCAGGCCGCTATTTGGCGCTAAAGCTCCCACCGCAAAGCGCGCTTCGTCTGGTCCTAACATTCGGAGAAAAAAAAATAAGAATCCGAATCAAATGAAAGTACCTGCGATTGAATGTCTGGACTGTTCAAAGACGTCCAAATGTGTCTTTGGGATTGAGTGAGTTGAGTTGTAAACGTACGTCTCCAGAGATTTCAGTGAAAGCGCTTCAAGGGACAATTTGACCAAGATCGCATCAAAGGGTCATGTCTGCATGTTTGGCTGTTGATTGGCTTTGTTTATTTGATTTGCATAAAACCAGCCAACGGCTCTTTGAAAAAAGAGCCGTTGAGGTAACAATGCACAGAGAGAAAATAAAGAATAGAAAACAGAAGCTGCAGGCTTTTTACAATGGACTATTTTGAGCCAAAACCTGAATTGAAGAAAAGTGAAGGCGAACTCCCATTTTCGACTGGATCGTTCTTGTCACTACTTTGGAGAGTCTCCTGGATTTGGCACTTGCAAGGCCGAGTGTTTCAATCGTGCCTCCCCGTAGATGGTCGGAAGTTTATTGTGAAACAAGCGCGCAAGCTAATTCGGTTGCCGAGCGCACACACCCAGAAACACATTCTGGTCACCCGCAGCGACGCCATCTTGTCCGTTTCCGAAAGCGAGGGGATACGCTCAACGTTTTTGGAATGAAGGTGTTCACTTTGCCTCATTCCAGATCAAACTGGTTGCAGCTCCTGAGTCAAAACATTTCATTCAGTCGGTCACATGAGGGGATTTGAGCTTAAGTACTTTCCCGCTGCTCTCATTTTCTGCAGTCCCTTGAGCTCTGGCCAAGTGAGAATGCTTGTCCCCAAACTAGTTTGGGTCATTTCGCAAACCGACCACCCGTGTGTTTCGATTTTTTGCCGTTTCCTCGCTCCGCTCTTGTGCTTATTGTCAAGTCTTTCAAGTACAGTTTCGCAGTTGTCCCCCCTGCTGTGAGCTTCTTTGCGCGGTGCTGCCGCCGACCACTGTGACGCAACACGGTCGGAAGGCGAATGCCGTCCGTGCGGTTTATTTTGACGAGCAAAACAGGGTCACGTGGAATTTGGATGCCAACTGTGAGAACGCGGCACACCGGGCGCTGATCAACAGTCAAGCGCACGACTGACATCTTGGCGCTTTTGAATCCTCCGAACCTTAGCGACTGAGTGTAGCTTGCTGTTTTGGGATGGGAAGAGCAACCTCAAGTGAATGCGACGAGTGGAGCAAGTCCGTGCAAACGTCACGCACACACAAACGCCGTGACGCATTCCTGCCTGTAACCGTTGATATATTGTCGGCTTAATGGCATTCCCCAAATGTAGGCAAAGCAAATCATGATTCCCGCAAACGATGAAACCCTGCATGGTTTGACACATTTTCATTCATTTTGAACCCGGGGCACACTTGTGACACGCACTTTTTTTTTTTTCTCCGTTCAAGCCCACAATCATCTGCGTTTCTAGGGAAGAAAGACGAATACTGAAAATGTTAATATTTCACAAAACATACATATGAAGACTGCTAGGGAAAGCGAGCAACAAAAAAAAAAAAAAAAGAATCCCCGACATTAGCGGTGTCCAAACTTTTCAGTTTGAGGGCCACCAACAGAAAAATGGAAGGATCAAAGGGCCGCCCTACAACTACTCCACTTTTTTAATCCCCCTAAAGTCAGTCAAGAATGCGTGTGTCTCGTTAATTTCATCAGCTTTCTATTAAAGGCGTTGAGGAAAATAGTTGAGGATTTTTGGGGGTGGCCAACAGCTCTCTCTCTCTCTCTCTCTCTCTCTCTCTCTCTCTCTCTCTCTCTCTCTCTCTCTCTCTCTCTCTCTCTCTCTCAGGGTTGATCCGGCTCTGCACTGAGCAGCGGCCCAATCCCATCTGCACATTCAGAACCCAAAAAAAGAAACAAACTGTCGTAAAGTGACCATTTTTATGACCGTTACTTGAGGATCCTTCATGTGATGTCTTCATCAATCCGCCATTGAGTACCAAGTGGAAAAAACAAACTTTTTTCAACTAACCTGGCGGCCCATGTCAAATGTCATTTTATTGGTTTTTGTTTTTTTGTTTTGTTTTGGATTTTTTTTTTTTTTTTTGTCACGTCACGGGCCACTGAAAAATGGATAGCGGGCCGCCCATAGCCCCGGGCCCGTAGTTTGGACACCACTATTTAACATCTCCAGTGTTGTACGGCGTATTAAAAGTTTTAAGACGGCTGCTTGTAGTTATGTTTTTCGATTGCCCTCATTGGGGTGGCGGGGGGTGGGGGGTGGTGATGCCCTCATTTGGAAGCTGCTTATCTGAAACCTGCAAACTCGAAGCACGTGAACCTGAACTGATTTTAGGGCAAACCAACGTAGCTCATCCCACAGCCTGGCTGATTTGTGGGGGTCCCGAGTTCTTTTAAGGTTAGTCAGCCACTCAAAGTTCGTGCCATGAAAGACGATAAATGCTGCTGTAGTTATGAGAAACTGAAATTCCCGCCACTTTCTACATGAGCGATTTTGGTGATAAATGATTGAGACAGCACCGACATGTCGAACACAAAGGCCCGTGCGGGCACAACACACAGGGTATGAATGGAAAAAGCAAGTCCCACTTGGAGGTTTGCTCCTCTTCGGAACAACCTTTTTGAGGTTGTTTAACAGCTGTAAACTGACTGAGGAATAAGCCGGGAGTAAAATCACATCTTTTAACTCGAAAGGTTCAAGGAACAGGATCAGCGCTCCGTCGTTCCACACATCTTAAAGTGGCCTCCCAAATAAATAAGATGTACAGACCATGAAAGTGAGGGGGCATATTTCAATCACTCTTATAAACAATTGCACCAATTCCTATGTTGAAAAAGCACACTTCTGTGTCTCTCTGTCACAAGAACATCGCAACTTAGAATGAAATGTACCATTTGAAGCTTCAAACTCACCTGGAAAGTTACAAAGTGGAAAACAGGGAGCCCGGTGGGGCTCTTTCCGTTGATGTCAACTGGAAATCTCTCTCCAGAGAGGTCCACATCCAAGTTTGAGAACGGACGGGAAACTGAGCCCAAGTTATCAAACTTCCCTTATAAGTGTCCCGTCAGAAGAGGGAGTCACCAGACCTTGACGTCAAGACCGGAGACCCTCTCGCGCTCCGTGAGAATGAAAAAAAAAAAAAAAAAAGGCACGCCAACAGAAAAAGCACCACAGAAAGTTAGTTATTCGAAATAACCAACAAGTGTGGGACTTATTAAATAATTTTCGGGAAAGTGTTAAAAAAAAATAATAATATATTACGCAGATGCTTGAGCTGTTCCACAGCAAAAAACATTTGCCATCTCGTTTCAGCCACCCCGAAGCCTGCCACTTGTTTGCTTTTAAAAAGCCCCATCACGTGTGACTTGTACATATCGCGTCAAAGGTATAATTTTAATGTTTTGAACACTGCCCACAAAACCTGCTCAGAAGACAAACTGGAAGGAAATCATTTTATTCTCTGTGAACTTTGCTTGTTTCGATTTGCCCGTATATGCTGCCATCTAGCGGCCGAATTAAACACTACAAGTAAAGGGGTTCTTTGGACTGGAGCGCAAATTGTTGCTGATCGGTTTGTTTTTTTTTTTTTTTTTTACGTCTGTCTTATATCGGGTTCACTACCGTAAATCAAGATATACCATAGAAATGAAACCAGCGGGTGAAGCGAGGCATTTTCTTTGTGATGAATCGTCATCCAGCCAGACCAACCGCAATGCAGTGATTTATTTTTCAACGTTAATATAAAACTATCTGCTCTCAGTGTAAAGTCTAATCATTCATCTTGGAAATGTTTCTTTGTTATGTCACTGTCGTAGGTTAATGCATGCATCTGAGTTGAAAAAAAAAATGCTTTGTTTCGTCTTGCCCACCTTTGCGCAATTCACCAGTCAATCAATCTTCAAGTGAATTTATAGATGCGGACACGTACGCTTAAAAGTGCCCCATAAACATCCCCAGTTCTGACTCTGACGGGGCACTGATTTGCCTGTAACACCTCCTCACAACCCTGAAAATGGTCCAAGAGGCGGAAGATTCATGGGCGGATACCAAGACAACATGGCCAAGCTAACTCAGGTCAAGGATATTTTGGAGGGGATATTTTTTCTCCTTCTACCTTTGCACAGATCGCCTATCTGTGCTTTTTTATATATATATATTTTTTTTTTAATGAAACCTAAGATTTACAGTGGAATTCAAACTGACATTGAATTGACAAGCATTTTAATTCAACTTGAAGTTTCTGAGTCAAATATAAGAGGAACCGTAAATTAAAAAATGTCCATTTTGGGGACTGACCACAAGAGTTTCCATGAGTTCACATAAAAGCTAAAAAATATATATATATATATACATATATATCCACATTTAATGACATCTCTTGGAAGAACAGCAGTAGGAAATAATGGGTACGTTTGGTGCTCGAGTTGTCCTCGTTTTCACTCCGAGTGGATGTGACTGTCATCGCCGCTTAAGCGCGTGGTGACCTGAGAATGTAGAGGCAGCAGAGGGTAGCCCCTGTACTGGCTTGGCGTCGTTCCCCACGTCGGCTTGGCCGGTGCACACGGCGTAGCGGTGAGCACATGAGGCGCGGCTGGCAGCTTTTTCTTTGCGCTTTGCCTCTTGTTGCACAGCAGGTACGCAATCTCCACGACATTGAGGAGCGCCGAAACGCCCGAAACCGCCAGCATGAAGTAGATGAAGATGGTCTTCTCGGTGGGGCGAGAGACGTAACACCTGGAACCGCTCCCCAGCGCGCAAGGCGGTGAATTCTTACAGTGGAAATCCGAGACGACCTTCAGAGGGCCGAAGACGTAGAACTGTCCGACGGTGAAGCCCGCCTCCAGGATGATCTTGAACACCAGCTGGGTGAGGTACGTGTAAAACAAGATGCCTTTAATTTTCACCTTGCCTCTTTCGTCCGTGTACTTGGATGTCTTTGCCGCATTCCCGTTCATCTTGCTCTGCTCCAGCCGCATCGTTTTCTTCTCCTTGTGGATGATGAAGACGGCGTGGCCGAGGTAGACCAGCGTGGGGGTCGACACGAACGTGATCTGCAGCACCCAGTAGTGCACGTAGGACATGGGGAACAACCAGTTATAGCAGGAGTTTTTGCATCCCGGTTCTTTCGAGTCGCAGTAGAACTCGGACAATTCATCCCCCCACACGTTGTCCGCAGCAGCGCCCAGGACGAAGATCCTGAACACGAAGAGGACGCTCATCCAGATCTTTCCCACCACGGTGGAATGAGCTTGGACCTTGTGGAGAAGATTGGACAGGTACGACCAGTCGCCCATGGCAAAGAACTAACATCTGAAGGAGAGGAAGGCATCCTGGTGTCAAAGGTAAGCAAACAACATTTCGCTCCATCATAAAGAGATGTTTTTTTTTTTCCTGAAAATGTGACTTATTCTGACCAGCGTCAATTCCAGGATGCAAATATACACTGCAAAAAAAATCCAGCCATTTTTTTTCAAGTCGATATAAGGTCGACTTGAAAAAAAAATGTATCTGGAGCCAGATGCTTTTATTCCTGGCGACCACTTTTAACGAAATAAAATGGAGTAAATTCAACAAAATCTTTTTTCGGTGTATGGGTAATGTCGAGGCTCCCGTTAACATCACAATTAAAAAAAAAAAATCCCACAGATAGGCTCTTCTTTTTATGCATTTGACTTGAACAGGTTAGTGCACTTCTTGTTGCAAAAATAAATAAAGATGTATCTAGACAGCATTATCTTTACAATACAATACAATACATGCTGATTTATATCGCGCTTTCACGACAGCGGCAGCTGCAACAAAGCGCTTAACAAAACAGTTAACATCAAGTAAAATAATAAATACAACACATTACATAAAACACGGACAGTCGTGCAGTCCTCAGCACTTTTCCCCCCTTCGCTTTGTTGTTTAAAGCAGTTTGAGATGAAAGAGGAGAGGAATTAAAGTGTCCTTTCACCAGTGGATCAGAGACGTCATGCTCAAACCGGCTACAAGCGAAGTTTCCAAGTCAACAAGAAGCTGTAGCATCCATTGACGAAGAAAAGAGATTGGTTCACTTCTCCAGTCCCATGTAAGTCCATTTCAATTTCAAGCGGCGACTTCTCAGTTCCAAATACGCAAAACAAACAACTTTGTTTCTTTACATCGGAAAAAATCCAAACTGTATGTTTGTTCGCCCCCTTTTAAGAGGACAAGCGGAGCAAAAGCATTCTGAAATTAAGCGGCCAACACAAACTGGAGGTGTCGTTGATGAGTACAGCGTATATGTAGGCCGAGCTGGCGAAGCATGATACTTACTCGACAGTACTTCATTTGAACAAAACATAACAAATCAGTATTATTTCAACATCAAAAAAAGAAATACTTGCCTGACACACTTCCAGTTGCCAGGAAGAAAAGAAAAGAAAATCTCAATTGTTTTGACCACTAGGACGAGACTTAAATACGTCCGAGTGAAATGGGTGCGGCCTGATTGACTCACATCTGCATAACCGCTTCTTGTTTCGCTGTGTCCAACTCGTGATTATTTTGAAGCATTTCATCAGTTCAGTTTCCTGGTACTGAGGCGGGCTAAGTCACACTGCGTAACTCGCATTTGTTCCCTCAAGTAAACTTACCTCCCACTGTCTAGGACGTAGCCCACGCCCAGACGGCGCATAACTCACGTCACTCCCTTCGGACATGAACTTGGATGTGCGTTCGTTTTTTTTTTTTTGTGCAGCCGAGTGAAACAATTATGGGCTTGAATAATTTGCTAAATGCAAATGTGGCAATGCAGCACTGGCAAGCAAAAGGTCAGCACAATAGGAAACGTATGTATAGATGGAGGAATGAATGCAACATAATCCAATTTTTGGTTCAAAGAATAAGACCATTTATCTTCAAAACACGGCAGTGGATAAAGATCATTTTAGAGGCTGATTGATGAATGATCCTCAAGTCGCTGTTGGAAAAATGGTCACCGTGCTGCAGTTTGTTCTTTTTCGTTTTTTGGCTTCCGAATGCGGAGATGGGATTCGGCGGCTGTCAAGTGCAGAGCCGGATCTACTCTGTGACATAGTGGGCTGTTGGCCACCCGAGACATTTCAAACAATTTATCGAATTGTTTCCTTGACAGACTTGAGCGCGTTTCAAAATGTGGCCGAATTTTTGAGCGGCCCTTTGATCCTTGCATTTTTCTGTCGACGGCCCTCAAACGAAAAGCTTTTTGGGCACCCCTGCCTTAAAAGCGTCATTTGGTGACAGACTAAATGTTATGCTGGCTAAAAGGTGGGCTATTTTGCAGCACAGGTGGTCGAACACTGTTTTGGTCTTGATCCACGCCAAATGAGCATGTCTTTACTGTGAGCTGACACCTGTTGGGGGAAAGCGGCCTTCTTTCCTCCGCGTGTTCGTTGAATTTCGGACGAGGAGAATATTTGTAATCCAAATATACGCTGGAGCCGATGAACAGTTTTCTTCAAAGCTTTTAATAACAGAATATTGCAGGTACCCGCGAATGACAGACAATGGCCGCGTGTCACGAGTGGGAAGCAGAAAGAGAATCTCATCATTTTTATATTATCAGAAGGGCGGTGCCGAGACACAAATTGTGACATCGTAACTTTTAGTTTTTCCGAAACCGATTCTCAGCTTGGCGCATTCCAAAATGTGTGCGTTTTCAGTAGGGAGTATTCCAATTCTAGGTGATGATTGTTACAAGGACGCCAAGCTACACTGCAATAAATATGAGCATAGTACAGACTGAATAAGAGCAGAATACAGACTTCACACCCCAAGCGACCGAAAAGAAATCATTGACTTTGGTTTCATACTTGGGAGCGACTGAAAGCTGTTTCATTGCAATCCAAAAGGAGTGCGAGTTATTCACGCATATTGGAAGAGCAAGGTGTTGCCCGCTGCCTGTAACAAAGCTGTTATTCCTCAGCGTGAGTCGTCATCACCGCGTGAGGGAGTGCGAGTGGGTCGGCGTATAAAAAAAATCTGATGATGCGGCAAAATCAAGCGACGCTATAAGAGAAGTGAAATCGTTCTCGAGGGCGCACAAGAACTGAAGAAAGCGGGAACCTTTGCTTCGGTAGGACCCATCGTTGTCATTTCTGAAACGTTTGTGTTTAAATAGAATAGAATTGAATGGATCAACCTGGGAAAAGGTCACGTCGATGACAACGGATCCGTTGGAGCGTTTGACACGATTCGGCATTAGCGATGTGTTGATCACGAGCCCGCTGAGACAAATGAGAATAAGTGATTTGAACCCGAGATTGGGTCACTTCATTCAAGTTGCGTGATGGACAGAATTCAGAAAGGATTTTTAAACATGACAACATAGTAGCCATCATTTTTTTTTTTCAAGGGTGTGAATATGATAGGCGTGTTCTGGTCCACTTTTAGACCCATTTATTGAAGTGCGTCAATTGTATGAACGTGTAGCAATGTCCTATCGTCATAGATAGTGTGCGCCGTTGCAATATAAACCGTGCAGACCCAATTAAACGTAGAATACGGGACAGAGTAAAGCGAAGGAGGCAGGTGACCAACTATTTAATGTGATTTTGTGAAGAAGGGACAAAAAAAAAAAACCCCACAATTCAAAGAAATGAGGAACCCAAGTGTGGGATTTCACGAATAGCGAGAACTATGGATGTCATAGGGACAAAATAGCATCAGACCGAACTTTGACACAGTTGTGCCCAATGCGATGATAGACAGGAAACGTAGTCACTCATGTGAAAATGAAGCTTGTGACAGCCAGAGAAAGGGAAAGGAATAAAAACCATTTTGCGTGCACTGCATACCGGTGGCGAGTGTGTGCCCGCCCGCGTGTGTGCCATACGCTCGCAGGACTCAAACGCTGGTTCGCTCGCCGTCTGCTGGAATGAGTTCTCACGGCACCGCGGCGGTTTTGCAGGTCATTTCGCTCACCGTGTGTGGCTGTCGTGTCATCCTCCCCCAGACCCGCCTGAGATCCGCTGCCATCATGGGGGAGTGGTCCTTCCTGTCGGAGATGTTGGACAAGGTCGAATCGCACTCGACGATATTTGGCAAGGTCTGGATGAGCGTTCTTTTCGTCTTCAGGATCTTCATCCTGGCGGCCGGCGTGGATAGAATATGGGGAGACGAACAAGCAAACATGGACTGCAACACCAAAAGCCCCGGCTGCAAGAATGCTTGCTACGATGCGTCCTTCCCCATATCTCACACGCGCTTCTGGGTGCTCCAGATCCTCACGGTCTCGACGCCCACGTTCATCTATCTGGGTCACGTCCTGCTTGTCATCCGCAGAGAGAATAAGCTTCGGCGACACCTGGAGCAAAAACGGGACCTGATCAAGACGCTCAAGTCGCCCAAATATTCCGACGAACATGGCAAGGTGAAGCTCAAAGGCTTCCTGTTGCTCAGCTACCTGATGCAGCTTCTGTTCAAGATCTTGCTGGAAGTGGCCTTCGTCGTGGGCCAGTACTTCATCTACGGCTCCATTCTCATGCCGGAAAAGATTACGTTCCGAGGCGGAAGCTGTATAACCGACACCAACTGCTTCATCAGCCGTCCCACTGAGAAAAACGTCTTCATCGTCTTTATGTTGGCCATGGCGGTCTTCTCTGTCATGCTCAACATCACTGAAATGTTCCATCTGATGATCTTAAAGTTGAGGCATCGCAAAAGGAGGGGCGCCGGCTCATTTCTTTCCGAGTGAATGGGCCACTGGGACAAGAATGCCGGGCACACGGTTTCACTTGCGAACTTCCAGAAATACATTCCTTCTCTTCTGGCAGTGACACACAGTGTTCACT